TCGCTTATATTCAATGTAATATTTTAACGCTTGCTATAAGGGGCCTTACTTATTGAGCTCAAATCTTATCACCGAATGTTCTGTATACCAAACCATCTGAGAAACTAAACCACCTAAACTCATGAGGTCATACTTGGCCCAGTCGAAACCTGCATGCATGCTTTTTACTCACATAATTATTATTATTAATTATTATTATTAGATTATACAGAGTGGTCTGTACGTGGTAGAACTGAAAATCGAAAAGGATTCTACATTGAGAAATGAGATGAAAACGTAGATCAGATGAAATGCAATTACACATAGTACGAAGCGAATAAACAAGAAAAGTTTATTTGTCGAATCCTATATCACCGATACGTTTATCGATTTTTCTTTAGAAACAGAAAGGGATGACGGGGAAGGGCGGGTTCAAGGGCTTCGAGTAGAGATCTGTTCTCGGGTTCGAAGTATCCAGCTAAGCGTAATGACGACTGCCGAGTGAATCGTGATGGATGGTACTCGGTGTATCTTGTATCGCGTTATCGCGGCTACCACTTGCTTATTAAACTGTTCGGGTATTCGTTGCGCGCGAGGAACAAGACCGAGGAAAAAGAGAGAGAGAGAGAGAGAGAGACGCGAAACGAATATAACGCGACGGCTTCGACCGGTAGAGGAAGATCGATGCTCGTCCCGGCTCGGACCGAAACTTTTAATAAATGTCATCTGCTACCGAGGTAGCAGCCCTCGACGACTCGTTATAAATCGCTACCGTTCGCTCGAGCTGGCCTCTTTAACCGATCAAAATTATCTGATCCTGGTCCAAACCGAAACTCACTAACCGTCCCCCTTTGTCCTATTCATTCGAATCCTGACGAGAACTCACTCATTTGTATCTCGCAGACTATTTCTATACCAGTGATCTTAATCATTTCACAATTTCCTCGTCATTTGAGAAATCACGAAATTCTATGCTCTTAATATTTTTTATAATTTTATGCTCTTATAAGGTAAAAGAGGTAGTACCTGGACGTTTCAAGAAAGGACACTGATGGGTCGTTCAGACGTGTGGCACAAAATCAAAGTCGTGAGAGGCACGCAATATGACAAAGAGACAGTACTGAAATCTATACTAGCTGCTATAGAGCCAGCAGACATGATTCCTGTACAATATCAAGCCAGTGGAGAGGACACGATATTCCTGGCACGAAACTGTGCTCACGCTTTGGACAAACTCTGCAAGACCAGTTTGATAATTAAAAACCCAGACGGAGATCCTCTGCTCTTAATCATAACTTTGGGATTCGCGTCTGTTCATGATATAAAGATCAACATGCAACCATTGCTTCGAACTGCTCTCGAGGCCAGATATAATGCCACGAAGAAATCCTTAAACCTAGAACAGTTTCGAAGAGATCCAGAAATGTCTAAGACTATTTACTCCCCATTGTCGCAACCAAAGGTTTTCAGTTACGTTCTCAAATTGGCGAAGAGTTCGATAGGTACGGTCGAACACCTAAACTTACAGAAAAACGAGCTCTACAGTTTAACTGCTATGAACGGTTTGAACTTATCGATCAAGTATCTCGATTTAAGGCACAACAACCTAATGAACATGGACGTTCTCTCGCCGCTGAAAGGCACACATATCACTAAATTATGGCTAGACGGGAATCCGTTATGTGAAAATTACTGCAAGCCGCAGCGATACATAGACTCAGCTTTAAAATATTGCCCAAACTTGGCCGAATTAGACGGTGTGCATATAGGAACGTCCGAGCTGATGCGAAGTTATACAAACTATTTTAAGGACGAGTCCAGGGAGGAGTTAGTCACCAAATTCGTTCACCACTTTTTCAATCTCTACGATCATAACGATCGGGCGAGCCTACGTGGGCTGTATCACCCGAACGCGTTCTATTCAATGAGCTTTGGCATCGCACACGCTTTAGCTCACAAAAGGAAACTGACACAATTCACGGCCAGTCGGAACTTGATGAAAAACGTAGATGCCACTAAGAAGCGGCAGCATCTCTACTACGGCCAGGACAACGTCCTAGCTAGCCTGAAGAGATTACCGAAGTCCTATCACGACAAGAATTCGTTCGTACTAGACCTGCTCTACGACGATGGGAAATGCCTGACGATCAATGTCAGTGGAATATTTAAAAACTCGTTCAACACGTCACAGATCTTGTGGTTCAGCCGAACGTTCATCATCCAAGCCTCTCCCAACAACTGCGAGTACAATATATTGAACGATCAGTATTACGTAGACGCGACGATGGAAGAGATACCAGCGAGCAGCATCGATTCGCAGATACCCTACGACGAGCTGCCTACCATCGCTTCCTGTTTCAGCAAGTTCGAGAAACAGGAAATGCTGGAGAAGCTCGCGGAAGTAACCACGCTCAACGACGACTGGTGCAGAACGTATTTGGAGGAATCCAAATGGGATCTACGAAAAGCAATTACGAATTTCATGAAGGATTACTCGTCCTCCTCGATTCCCTCGAATGCATTTTAAATACATCATCTTTTGTTCGTACAGAACATTTGAATAAGTTGTAAATGTTATATGAAATATTTTTTATAATATAGATCGTTAACTATGTACGTTGCATTATTATCCTGCCAGTCATCCTCCCACATTGACCTACCTGCTAACAGGTGTCTCTACGATGAGAATTAATATAGTATGCAAAAGTAAAAGCGATTTAATATAAATTTTTTGATCATCAGGGAAGAACCCGAGCCTCGGGTCAAGCGAAATATTGAAAGTTTGATCAGAATCAACTCGTGATTCGAAACTCAATTTCGAAGTCGTCATTAGATTCGCAGTTTTTATAGTATTTTCACATGGTATATAATAATCGGTATCGAATGCACCGACGGCTATCGAATTTTGTATGTGCTCGATTTTTTTTTTGGGGGTTCAACCCGGACACAAAAATTTCCTTATTCACGAATTCTTGCACAATCCTATGCTAATAATAAATGAGAAATATTAAGGATACCATTTACTTTGATATAAAAAGCGAGATATCCTTGATAGAATTTTTTTTCCCGAAGGCATGTTCGTGCCGTGGTGCGGCGAACACCATGATAGATCAATGAGTCGTGATGTTATTCCTCTGGCATTTAGACGGAACACCGAGGATGCTCACTGACTTCATCAAAAGGTTATGCATTCAAGGATTACGCTGAGAGGAGCATCGTGAATGAGCCAAGGGAACATTTTTTATTCCCTCTGTTTCATTAAAATGCTTCAACACTAGAACAGTCGTATATATATTTCATATTTTATTTCATTTTCACGAGCTTGTTTATTCTAATGTTAAATACTGCAGTTTATTTATTCTGTGTATTGCATAATGATCGTCTCTTAAACGTTTGGAATATCTGTTAAATAAGAAAGTGCCAATAACGATAATGTGTTTGAGCGTAAGAAAGTTTTCACGAAGCATGTTCAGCGTTTACGGCTCCATGAATTATTACATACATAAACAATTATATAATGTACATGTAATAG